GACAGCATTCTTGTCCTCAAAGATGTGTTCTATGCGCCAGGAATTCGGCGCAATATGATCTCAGTTCCTAGCTTGATGAAGAAAGGACTGGAAGTGAGGTTCTATAATAACATGGTTTCTATAGGCAAGAATAATATAGTGTATGCTATGGGAAAATATGTGTCCGAGCATGAATTATGCATTCTTCTAGTAGTTTGTAATAATTCTGATAATAAACTTTCGAGCTACTTGTCCTGTTATATTTCTGAGTCCGAATTGTGGCATTCTAGATTAGGACATGCTAGTATTTCAAAAATGAAAGAAATTATGAGAATGAACTTACTTCCTACACTATCTAATGTTCAATTGCCACCATGTGAACATTGTTTAACTGATAAAATAACTAGAAAACTTTTTATTGGCGGACACAGAGCCAATGGACTTTTAGGGTTGATACACTCGGATATTTGTGATCCCCTAAGTGTCAAAACTCATAGTAATAAAGAATATTTTATTACTTTTATAGATGATTATTCCAAGTTTTCACACGTTTATCTTATATCTAGAAAATTAGAAGCCTTTGACTGTTTTAAAAGATATAAGACAGAAGTTGAAAACCAACTTGGATTGAAAATCAAAATTTTGAGAACTGATAGAGGTGGGGAATATAACTCTAAAGAATTTGAGAGTTATTGTATTCAACATGGAATTAAAAGGCATACAACAATGCCGTATACGCCACAACAGAATGGTGTTGCTGAAAGAAAAAACAGAACATTACTTAATGTAGTTAGATGCATGTTGTCTCATTCTGGTCTCTCTAAAAACTTTTGGGGAGAAGCATTGTTAACTATAAACTATATTTTAAATAGAATTCCCACCAAATCAGTTGTATCTACACCTTATGAATTATGGAATGAGAGGAAACCTAATTTGAGTCTGGCTCAATTTGGCTCATTCTGGTCTGGTCTGGTCCAGCTAGGCTCAATTTGACTCATTCTGGCTCATTCTGGCTCATTCTGGTCCATTCTGGTCCATTCTGGTCCAATCTGACTTGGTCTGGTTCTTTTTTCTTTCTTTTTTCTTTTTTTCTTCCTCTCTTTCTAGGGCCGGCCACCCCCCTCCCTCTAATTTTGATTTTCTTTTCTCACAAGCCTCTTTTCTCCCTCCAAACTTCAGATCTGTATTTATAAGTTCTACAATAAAGAAAAAGGAGTCATTGAAAGCAGAGATGCTACATTTCTAGAGAATCTAGATGAAGAGGAATAAGTTCAAGAGAAAACACAACCTCTAACTGTAATAGATGATGATTATTACAGTGTTGTTCCAACTAATGACCCTGATATTGTGAATGAACCTAACCTTAAAAATGATGAAATACCTATGGAAAATAATGTACCTAATCAACCGGTTGTAGGCAACAAAAGGCCAAGAACACAACCTTCATGGATGGTTTTCTTCAGGTAAATCCTCCGCCATCTTGATCTATTTCATGTTTGATCTAGTATATGGAGTCGCGGGATCACATATAAGGGTTGAGGGTGTGATTTGATGCCTCAAACTTGCCTTTTTTGGGGTAAAAATGGGATTTTCCTTTTCTAGATCTGATCCTTCAATTTACCTTGCAGGTTTCTATGTCCCATATGGCGAGGGGTCAATCCTCTACCGTGGCGACTGATGGCGCGCCTCCCTCTTATGCCGGTGAGCCACTTTATGAGAGAAGAACTTGATTCCATAGAAAAGAATAAGGTATGGGAGTTATGTGATCTACCAAAAAATAGAAAATCCATAGGATGCAAATGTGTGCTCAAAAAGAAATATCGTGTTGATGGATCTATTGACAAATTCAAAGCACGGTTAGTTGCCAAGGGTTATAACCAAAAGGCAGGAATAGATTTTTAGGAGACGTATTCTCCTGTAGCTAAATTTGCATCCATTAGAATTATTTTGGCTATTGTTGCATATCTTGATTTGGAGTTATTCCAAATGGATGTTAAAACTGCATTCCTTAACGGAGAGTTGAAGGAAGCAATATATATGCAACAACCTGAAGGTTTTCAGGTGAAAGAACAGGAACCCCACGTTGTTCTCCTTGGTGAGGCAATCGGAAAGAGCCTTGATTCTCCTTGGTGAGGATCGACGCTTTGAAGATAGAAATTTTACAAATTAACCCTCTTCTTTCTGAAAATTTGCAAATTGGTCCTTTTAACCCCACGTTGTTCTCCTTGGTGAGGCAATCGGGAAGAGCTTATTCCAAATGGATGTTAAAACTGTATTCCTTAACGGAGAGTTGAAGGAAGCAATATATATGCAACAATCTGAAGGTTTTCAGGTGAAAGAACAAGAATATAAAGTTTACAAATTAATAAAATCTCTATATGGTTTAAAACAGTCTTCTAGACAATGGTATCTTAAATTTCATGATGTAGTTACTAAACTTGGTTTTATTCAAAATAAATTATATAATTGTGTATATGTCTTAAAAAGTGGGAGCAAGTTTACTATATTATCCTTATATGTGGATGATATATTGCTCGCTGAAAATAACATAGAAATGTTGAATAAAACCAAGGCAGATCTCAGCGAAAAGTTTGAGATGAAAGACATGGGAGATGCATCATATATTCTTGGAATTCAAATAATTCGAGATAGAAAGTCTAGAATGCTAAGTTTAAACCAAGAAAAATATTTAAGACCAGTTCTTAAAAGGTTTGGAATGGAAATTCCAATCCGGCACCAACTCCGTTAGTTATGGGAAAGAGATTATGTAAAGAGCAAAGCCTTGGAGAGGGGCAGAAGCCATTAGATGTTCCTTATGCTCAAGCAATTGGAAGCTTGATGTATGCAATGTTGTGCACCAGACCTGATATAGCTTATGCTGTGAGTCTAGTCAGTAGATATCAAAGTAATCCAGGACCAGCACATTGGGAAGCTGTTAAAAGGATTATGAAGTATATCAGAGGTACATTGACTCATAGATTAGTTTATCAAGCTGATTCGCTTGAACTCCTTGGTTATTCCGATGCTGATTCCGGAGGTAATAAAGATGATGGAAAGTCCACTTCGGGACACTTATTCATCTTTGGAGGAGGAGCTGTTTCTTGGAGTAGCAAGAAACAAGGGTGTATTGCTAGATATACGCAAGAAGCTGAATATATAGCTTGTAGTATGGCAACTACATATGCTGTCTAGATAAGACGGTTTTTGATTGATCTTGATCTCAATTTGTTGGAAGGACCTATTGATATTTATTGTGATAATCAAGCAGTAATTAGCTTAATCAATAGTGGTGCGAATAGCTCCAAAGAAAAATATATTGAGATACAGTATCACTATATTCGAGATATTGTAGAAAATGGAGAAGTCAAAGTGACTTATATTCCTACTACAAATATGATTGCTGATCATTTGACAAAAGGAATACCAGCGGAATCTTTTATCAAACATGTAAGTTTGATGGGCCAGCGGAATCTTTTATCAAACATGTAAGTTTGATGGGACTTAGGAATAAATAAGTCTAAGTAAAATTTTATGAATAATGAAATAAGAGTTACTCTCTACTTGATGGGACTTAGGAATAAATAAGTCTAAGTAAAATTTTATGAATAATGAAATAAGAGTTACTCTCTATGGATAGTGGGAGTAATAGTAAGCAGAAACATCCGATCTCACGGATAGTGGAAGGCATGTCACTTGGTTAATTTGGTCAAGTGAGAGATGTTAGCTTGACTTGGTCATTGATGACCAAATCAGGTTTTCCTACAGGGACCAAGTTCAAATCATTCTTGTGGCATGCTACCGCACCGATTCGACCCATGACCTTTCTTGCCGGTTTCCTCGCTATTTGGTTAAAGAAATGTGTGGTCTCATATCAGTCTTGTGACGCTCTGCCCTTGGAAGTACTCTATCCAACAGTTCAGCTTGCCTACAAGAAAGAACTCTCACTTCTTCCGGTGATGGTGGCTAACATTCACCGAGGACTATGGTGGAGAACGTGAATCATGGGTGGTTGAGAGAAAATCTCTCATGGGGGCGGATCTGAGGGGTAGAGGTGATGGGTTAAGCCCCTATATAAGGAGGATCATTCTCCTTGAGAAAATACAACGAAAATCAAAAGAAAACCCACTTACCCATTACCCGAGCCCCTCAAAAATATGTTCTTTCTTCTTCTTTGAATTCAATCATATTTATGCTTAATTGGTGAAGTTGCATGTTTGGTGTTTATATTAATGTCTTGCAAAGTTTGGATACAGTAATTTTTTCAACGTAGAGAAATTGGATTTTGGTATCAAATTGTATGTTAAATTATTGACTTACATATGCTAGGAGGCATGCTTGATTTATTATTGTATTTAATTTGGAAATTTCTTTGGTCATGAATATATAATTCAATGGTCAATTTCAATTGAATAAATCAAGCATAATTGTTCAGATACTTGTAATACCCAAAACCCCTTTCTATGGTTTCGAGCTACTACAATGAGTTTTAGCTTCTACCCATGCTTTTATTTGCTCGCCTATTTCAGGAAATGGTTGATCATGGGCTTCGTTCATTTTCTTCTTTTCATTTCGTCAAGTGTCTTACTAGCCAATCCTATTTTCTATTGATGAGATAGGGAGCAGTTAGGAGATATTAATTTTGACCATCAGTTCTCTATTCTATTGATATTGATGAGATAGCGAATAGTTAAGAGGCCTTGGATATTAGGGTATAATGGTTGTATGGACTTGTTGATGTAAGTGAACTTTGATGATGTATGAACTTATTGATGTTGTTCAGTTTTACTTGTATGTTGTGGTTGTATGGACTAATTGGTTGGATTATGTACTATTTTTGTTATTTTGGTTGTATTTAATTATTTGTATTACGAGATATCCTAATTGTATATGGCATCTATCCATTTAATCTTGGATACATATGTATGTATATAAACTCCACAAAATGTGTATGTATATAAACTCTACAAAATGATATAAAATGAATATTTGTACAAAAAAGTTCGTCCAATTAACATGTACTTCTTGCTTCATTTTCTCCACTGAATACTTTCTCATGAACAATATAATTAAAGTCAGCAGCAGCTGCATTAGCAAACAACATGTGCATTCACAAGAATGAATGCAAGACAACATTAGATTCCACTCGGAGCTGTAAATAAAAATTAGCAACAAACATATCATCTTTGAAACGAAGCCAAGGAGATGGCGGCGTTGGGTCACGGCCAAGGAGGCGGACGCATTCTTGTTAGACCCTAGAGGGGGGTCGATTATGGTCTTATGCTAATCTAATCCGATTATATGCCAATTAAAACTAATTAACAAGTTATCCTAGCAAGTATGAAATACAACATGATATGAGGCCAACAATTCTATCATCTGTCAGGACCCTATGGTAACTTTGAAATGAAGCCACCTCACAAAAATGTACAATTAGACCATTTAAGCATTTTTTTTTCAAGCCAAATTCAGCAACAACTACGATTTGATTGCACAAAAACTTAAACCAGCTTCTATTCATCTTAAATCATAGTCCAAAAAATTAACATAACATGTCTAACACCAAAACCCCTAAAAGTTGTTTCCTCCTCCATGACATTGATGAAGAGTACACCTAACTGTTGTTGAAAACATCCACATATCCTACTAGGCTTCAGAGCATATATATACTTTGTAAGCAGTAAATATCTTTTGTTAGCAGCAAAAGGAGAAGAGCTTGGATCAGAGTTTTAAGCCGCAGATGCCATGTTCAACTTCAGCTACAATCTTCACAAACAATCTCACAAACTATCTCTTTTGCTTTTTCTAAAAATGAAAGACAAAAAGAAATCAATTAGTGATATTTCAAGAAAAGTAAAACAATAAATAATATATGAAAAAAATGAAAGACAAAAAGAAATCAATTAGTGATATTTCAAGAAAAGTAAAACAATAAATAATATATGAAAAAATGTAAAACAAATGAACTAAATTGAACTGATATTTCAAGAAAAGTAAAACAATAAATAATATATGAAAAAATGTAAAACAAATGAACTAAATTGAAATTACCAACAATTGACAACCTGTCCTATAGTGTCCAAATTGTTGACAATGACAACATTTTCGTTGTCTCACCTCTTTTCGCCTTTCTGATTCTTCAAAGCCACTTTTAGTCCTATTTGAATTTTTCGGGCGTCCTTTTGGTTTCACAGGGCCGAGGGGATCACGAACCATAATTTCCTCACCATCTTTCAATAGAAGCACATGAGTATTTGAATCTACATGGGTCTCAACTTGAGAATCTATAGTTTGTGCCATATTGCGCCTTGCTTCCTCCCTTGCTTCTCCAAGGAAGTTTGATATTTGTAGCTCCAACTTTGAAAGAAGATCATTCGAGCCCACTACCATATCAAGTGATTCATTAAAATTTCCTCTTAAAGCCCATAATCTTATAATACTTCCCCGCTCCATGCTATCATCATTTTGTTGCAACTTCATAGCATTAGCAAAGCCAAAATCTCTATACCTTGCATCAATTTTCCATCTAGGCAAGATATACCTATCGGGAATAGAAGTCACTTGGTTTAACCACAATATATTTAGTATATGCTTACAAAGCACTCCTTCATTTTCCCAAAATGAACAAGTGCATGCAACATTAAGCTCACTATTTATGTCATAGGTTAATTCTTCCCAATTCTCTTTGTCTTCAAAATATTTTCCAACCAAGTATACAACTTTCAACTCTTCCTTTGACACTTCTTCACGATGTAATGACATCACATCACCAAGCTCCCTTTGGAACATCTTCAAGATCGCCCTAGTGTATATCTTTCCAACTTGCTCTTCAATCAGATTTGAGAAGCTCATCGCATGTAGGGTGTTCAAAGTCATGAAGTCCTCATGAGATTCTGATGCACGACGAGATGCTAATGCCTTGTCATATTGACCAACGAACTCAACAAGTCTAGTGTTTGCATTGACAAAGCCATCGAAAAAGGTATTGGTGCTCTCACTCTTTTGGCTTGTTGTCATTCCCGCCGAAAAACAGTCCTTCAAGTATGCATCTACCCAATGTTCATGCAAGCTATACATTCTTGTCAGCCAACTATCTTCACCTTCATTTATGTTGAATTTAACCTTTATGACTTCCCAACGCTCTTCGCATTTGCTTATACTTCTACCAGAATACCAATTGTTGAAATATGTAGGCATCTCATCCCCGTATTGGCTCTTCAACTTTACTTGTTGCTTGGCAATATGCTTTCTAACATGCCAAGAACAAAAGCGATGACGAGTACTTGGCAAAATGCTCTTAATAGCTTTTTTCATCTATGCATCCTGATTAGTTATGATAGCCTTTGGTGCTACCCCATGCATACACTTGAGCCATTGCGAAAACAACCACTTGAAGGTTTCCTCTCGCTCGTCGGCAAGCAATGCATAACCGAAGAGGGTGGATTGGCCGTGGTGGTTTACTCCTGTAAATGGAGCAAATGGCATACTCAACTGATTAGTCTTGTATGTGGTATCAAACACAACTACATCTCCAAGACTTAAATAAGAGGCTCTAGCTCTACCATCAGCCCAAAACACACTTCTCAGTGTACCAAAGTGATCGACCTCCATAGAAAAATAGAAATTTGGATCCGATTCCTTTCTGTCTTAGAAATGTCTAATGATGTTTAAGCATTCACAGCCAATGTTACTTTGCCTTGTCTTTCTAATAAGATCAATCATCTGTTGTGTGGTGACTTGTTCAGCATCTTGTCCTTGATATCCAACATTAAGCACCTTTTTAATATTAGATGGTCTCATTCCCTCTTCATGCAACAACTCAATGAGGTTAATGCAATGCTTCGATCGATGTCGCTGCTTGTGAGAATGATAATGCATTACTTTATCAGGGCTTGTTAAAGGATGAACATGCTCAGAAATGAACTTAGTAACCTTCCAAGCTTTTGAAGAAGTAAGCTTAATCTTCATTTTTGCACCACAACCAACTTTAGTTTTCGGACGACGATTGATAATCAATTCACTTGCATTTTCAGTCGATGCTCTCTTTCTCCCCGCTTTATCACAAACAAAAGTCCTCGAAAGAATCTCTCCTAAAGCTTTCTTTGATTTTTCAAAAGTAGCTTTGCGAATTCCAAACCCAATCTTCTTTGCATATACATTGTAGTAGTTGTATGCATCGTTGTCCGTCTGAAACTCCTTCCCTTCAAATGGAATATCATCATCACTAATTTGGTCATTGTAGATGGTAAAAAATACCTCTGTGAGCTTGCAAGAAATTCACCTGAGTGATCAACTCGCCTACACGAGTCAGAATCAACAGGAGATAGCGGAATTTTGCCTTTTACACAACTCGTCTGCCCGAGTCCAAAGTTGAATCCACCCGCAAACCTCAAGGCTGTCAGTACAGCTGGGTATCCGCTACCCCACGTACCGGCACAGGCTTTCCCATCCCTCTCGACCTGAGAGGGGAGAGAGCGCAGTACTCCAGGACCGTCGAGTAGCCGTTCACAGTACGAGTAATCGGACAGGTGTCAGATCCACCTAAACATTCATAAATGCGGTTCACCTCACCCATCCAGGTCGAGAGCTGGATCCGCCGGCACTCGGCAAGTTGGCCAGACCTACTCAAGTGCTGTGCACCTACTTCACCGCCTCTCCTGACCGGAAAGGAGAAGGCACCATGCTCCAAGCACGCCGAACGGTGCGAGGGCGATCCGAAGGGATGGAATCTGAATTTCCAGCAGTAGCACAGCTTCACATCCGTATACCAGTGAATACAGGGTGGCACCTGTGGGCGTGCGTATGGTGGTGCGGTAGGCCCAGAGTGCCTCACCGAGTTTATCGTCCCAGTCTCGTTTATTGGTCTTCACGAGCTTTGATAGGATCTTAATGATCGTTTTGTTAAACGCCTCTGCTAAACCATTCGCGGCGGGATAATAAGGTGTTGATGAAACGTCTTCAATTTTGAACTTGTTACAAAATCTGATGAAGGCGTTGCTTATAAATTGCGGACCGTTGTCATGAATGATCCTTCTATTTAGGAACTTCTTCCAGCCACGAAGAAGGGGTTCAAGTTCAGTTCAGCTTTTCTTCCAAGTCAAGAAGAAGAGATTCAGCTGTTTAACCGTGCAAGCAATTCGCTCATAGTTGAACCAGCTAATTGAACCACTAGCTCTCAATCCGCAATACGATCGAGACCAAGCTGTTTGCATAATCCTTGCATCACAGTACCACTGCCTAGTTCTGAGCTCTGATCGCCGGCGAACTAAGTAGACCCGAACTCCATCGACTCGAGCTTCTACTGCGTACTGAAGCTCTCCAGGAACCTCGATCGAACGGTCCAAGGGAAGCAGACTCGACACAAGCATCGAGCGAAGCATCCTGTAGCCACCTAAAGTCCCCACACTAAACAAAGAGGGCATTCCCTCTGCTTCTGTTGTAATTTCGATTCATTAGTTTGTAATAAGCTTTCTTATCAATACAAACGAAACTCCCTGTTTTTGGGAAATCCAAATTTACACCTACAGAAGATGGCGACCACAGTGGGAGAAGCTGTTTCATCAAACGAAATGGTGTTGGCTCAATTCGATGAAGTTGCTATTAGGACGACCGTGGAGTCCCTAGAGATTGAGTTCGACCAAGCCAAGTACGAAGAGTACTTGTCTTCTTCCTCCTCTGGAGGCGATGCGTCCCGCAAACGCCACAGAGTCGTGCGCCAAGGCCGACCTCAAACGGTCAAAGCCTCTGCGCCTAAGGGTTTTCCCCGAATCTCGTCAGGGGAACCCACTCCCTCAGAATCGATCAAGGCCAAGCTAGGGGTCGAGAGCAAGGTACAAGGGTCTACCAAATGGGTCGCCAAGCGGTCCCCGCAGACACCTGTCCCGGAGGAAACGCCGGTTCGTTCCGGCACCAACTACGCTACCGCAGCCCACGGTGATGCTCTCCTCACTGGAAGAGCTAGCCAACAGCGATGGCAGACACTCATCAGACAGGAGGCCCAAACCTCCGTTTCCCACAATGGCCCGAATCATTGTACGGGCCCGAGAAACGCTAGACGAGAAGGCAAACTGCCAGACGTCGGAAGGCCCTCTAAATCAGGAGCACCAACCGAGGAAGACAGGGCCGCCCGCTCAGGAGGACTTCGCTTCTCAGGTCACATCCCTGATGCGAAGAAACCACACCGAGCGAGCGAGCCTACCCGAACGGGCGAATCCTCGAAGGCTGGCGAGCCTCGCCATAACCATTTGGCGGATAAACGTAAAGGCAAAGAAAAAGGTGACACCTCGCAAACCCGCTCGTCCAAACGAAGGGTTGAGACCCGCCTACGTACTGGAGTTCGCCCAAATGCGAAGACTCGCCAGTCAAGGCGAGATCGCCGCACTCCAGCACCAAAGCGTTCCACCCAGCTGTAGGCGTATAAAACTACCTATGGGTCCCTTAGCACAGCTCGGCACGGTGATTCGACAAACCAACGAACCATCGGGCGATGAATCCAAGAATGATCGTTAAACCACAATATCGAAGCTAAATGAGACGTAATGAAGCGGATTAATGAGGTGACAAGGTTAACGAATCGTACGCAAATGACGGTACGGGTCGATCAATCAACGAATCATTCAACCGTAGAGTCCACTACATCAATCAAGATCGGGAGCAAACTCGAACACCGAAGCGGATTTACTGCCAAATCAGGATCCGAACTCAAACTCGAACACCGAAGCGGATTTACTACCAAATCAGGATCCAGACTGCTAAATCAGAGTTCAGATCAACAAATCAGAGTTCGGATAAACCGCAAAACAAAAAAAAAACCAACATTTGGAGGACTCGGCCAAAACCGAGCTACCTCTAGGTGGCTCGGTGGCCGAGCCTGGTGGCTCGGTGCCTCGGCCACCTTTTGGTGGCTCGATGCCTCGGCCACCTTTTGGTGGCTAGGTACCTCGGCCACCTTTTGGTGGCTCGATGCCTCGGCCACCGCGAACACCCGGCCAAAACCAAGCCACCCAAGGGTGGCTCGGTGGCCGAGCCACCCAAGGGTGGCTCGGCGGCCGAGCCACCCCATGGGGTGGCCGAGCCACCAAGGTGGCCGGCCACCTGTGCCAAGGCACAGTTCTGAGTGCCTATAAATAGGCTGGGGGGGCTCATTTTTCAAAGGTTGGAATTATTGGAGGCGAAGCTTTGCTGGATTGAAGGCTCAAAACTTAAAAAGATTGAAGCTTTGGAACTTTGAAGACTTGGACATATCAGATCTGGCTCTTGGCGATCATCCACGCCAAATAAGGCAGGAGTTTGAGAGAGATCAGATCTGAGATCTACACGGTTATCCTCCGGATCAAAACATGGTTTTTGATCCCGAGAAGAGTCTCGATTTCGCTTTGTCGATTTTGATTACTAGGGCGATTATTTCCTTGGTGAATTAATCCCCCCGGCTATTATTTCCTTCGCGAAATAATACCCGTCATATGGTGTAGATCCGACCGGATCTAGATCGCGCGGTGGTCCACAGATTAACCCCGGCGCAGGCAAAGAACCCACAAAAGCGAGAGACCACAAAATAGGATCTCGTGATTCGTTCGACAAATAAGGAAAGTTGTAACTTTTTCTTTTTTTCTTTTGATCTCGTTGTAACCGGATCTTATAAAAAGACCGGATCTTTGTAGTCGATAAACAATTACTAAAGAGTGTACAATGACGTCAATGAAAGCTACGATTTTTCCCGCGAACAATCTGGCGACCACAGTGGGAGCCACCGATCTCGCTGCCGAGATCGTCGCGTCGCAGCCACGAATCTCTATCCCGGTTGAGGAGGAGGTCGAGTATGAATTCGACCAGCAAAAGTTCGAGGAGTAGTTGTCATCCTCGTTCGGACTCACCTCCCCTCGCAAGTCCTAGAAGTTCTCCTCCAGGAGAAAATTTCGTTGGTATGAAGAAGTACAGAACGCCAACGAAGCTCTCACCCCAATTGATGCCAAAGTTGCGTCGGGTGAAGTTCCGCCGACCTCCAACCAGGTCAACCCTGTTCTCGCCGATGCCTCCACCATTGAGGGCGTTGTGACTCTCTCGCAGAGAGCCCGCCAGAGGAACCAGCCTCCAACGAACCAAACAAAGTCGTCGGTAATTCCCATGGCTACTCCGGGAGATCACGCAGAATCATCCCGAAGAAAGAAGCCAGTTTTGGAGCGTCTCGGTCCAATTCATGATGAGAGAGGCAAAGCTCCAGTTCAAGAACATTTGGGCCCGATGAAGAAGCCCCGAACGACTCAACATGCTGGGGGTCACCGTCACCTCCAACATGACAACGAGTTCAAGGCAGCTACACGCGCCAATTTGCGCATTAAAGTCCAGGAGCCCGCTGAGAATTCACGCCCAAAAAGGCATGTCTCGAGGCGCGTGACTTTTGAAAGCCTAAAGAAGGCAGTTCACCCTCAGAAGGAAACATTATCGTCTGATGACGATAGCGTTATACTTGAGAAATCGTGCCAACACACGATAGGTTATTCCGACCTTCAAACCGACGAGTTGTACTATCGTGTTGGTGGTACAAGGAAAACTAGGAAGATGAGTCCTCGAGGACTAGAAACTCAGTGCCCCTGTTCCAAACTCATTCGGGCAATATTGTCTGAGTGCAACTGCATCAAGACGGTCCCTGAAAGAGTTTCGGTCTTCGAAAGGCTCAGTACCGAAACGCCAAAACCAAGGACTAGGCGTTTCCGACAAAGAAGAACGGTAGTTGAAGATGGAGAATTCCCGAGGGTCACCACCAATATGACCAGCAAAAGGACATCGACGCGGGATAATCCCGAGTCAATTCCGGAAATACCCCGACGTGTAACCCGTCTGTAGTCTGAAGCTATCATATGAGGAACTTATGGTAGGATTCGGACAAGATTACCTTCAGAAGATGAGGAATCGGATGCCTGCTCGGCTGTCGCATTAGACAATACAGTATCCAGCGTGGGACAACCCCGCGAGTCACTGATGATAAGCACGGAACAAGTGGCCAAGATGCTCGAAGAAGCCATGGCTAAACAGCAAGAGAGCTTCAAGCTCGAAATGTAGTTGGCCATGTAGAGTATGAGAGAAATGCATGACCAGCAAATCCGAGCGCTGACAAAGCAGCAAGGCGAGCCAAGTCGTCGTAACCAGATTGATCTAGAAGATGAGGACACAGGTGCGAATGAAGCATACAATGCCAATAATCCTCCCATCAATGCAGGGGGTGGTAACGAGAATGCCAACGAAGACTCAGGTGAAATCTTGAAGATTAAAAACCTCAAGAGCAAAATCAATACGTTGATTTCCGCTCAAGAGATGAAGAAGACAGGCATTCCTTGTCCATACCCAAGAGAATGGAACTGCTTCTTAAGACTCCGACAAGTATAAGAGTATAAACTGCTTCTCAATCCTCCGACCGGTATAAGAGGTTAAACTGCTCCCTGATACTCCAACATGTATATGAGTCTAAACTGTTTCATTTCTTTCACGGGAAGTTCTTGGAGAATTTTTATATGTAATATTCTTAAGGATAACCCGGTCATGTAACTGAGTACAATGTCGGACCCAGTTCCACAAGGG